GCATACTTGCCGTGTAAGACCTTTCAATTCCATAGCTTCAGCTGCTGGTCACACGTAGATGACCACCCAACCAGCATCACCCCCCTCCACTTTGCTTTCCAAACTCCAAACCCGTTTTTGCAACCGCCTTCCACGGGCCGCTACCTGAATGTTTGAAAAACATCTCCTATCCAGCATGTCCAAAGAGCAGCTTATCATCTTACCCTCAGCCTAAGCCCACCTCTCAATTCTCTGTCCAAATGAATGGTGTCTGTCGTCTTTTACTCCTATTCAATTCTGATGTCCTCACTGCCCACATCCAGACATCAAGTGCTATCTCTTCCAAATCAGAAATGCCTCACACCCGTTTCCTCCCTTGCAGGTCTACAAAGACTGCATTAGTCCCGGCCCCAAGCCATTGCTTCCCTCCTTCCTCGTCTTTCTGCACACAGTTTCTTCCCTCCACACAGGGCCACCACAGCTGTCTTTTTGACGTGACAAATCTGACGATGTTACACACTCCGACTCTAGGATCTTCAGAGCTAGCTCTGGTCTCATGCTCACATCCTGTGCCCCATCGTGTACTGTCTATCATGTCCTCCCCATCATCTTCATGCATTCCCAATGTTTCATACCCTTCACCTCCCCTAACATGCGGTGGTCTTATTAATTCATGCCTTCATACCCTCTGTTCCCCTTGTCTGGAATGCCTGGGGCCCCCCCCCCCCGTGCCACACATCACCTTCACATACATTTTTTTAGGTCCCTTCTCTGCTTTTCCAAATCCCTCCGCGTGGAGTAACATTCAGAGTCCTCTACAGTCCCGAAAAATAGGACCCAATAGGCGCTATGTATAGGAAGGGATTTATTATAAGGACTTGGCTCACATTATGTGCAGGCTGAGAGGTCCCACGGTCTGCGGTCTGCATGCTGGGGACTTAAGAAAGCCAGTAGTGTGATTCATTCTGAGTCTGGAAGCCCGAGAGCTGGGAGCAGCGGGGACAGGATAAGATAGATGTCCCAGGTCAAGCAATCATGCAGGAAGGGATGAATCTTTCTCTCTCCAACTTGTCCTATTCAGGCTCTCAGCAGATTGGATGATGCCCACCCACATTGGGAAGGGCAGTCTGCTTTACTGAGTGCACCAATTCAGTGCTAATTTCATCTGGAAATACCCTCAGAGACACGCCCAGAAATGACGTTTAGCCAAATACCTGGGCAGCCTGCGTTCCAGTCAAGTTGACACATAAAATAAACCATCACGCCTCTCAAAACGATTCTAGTAATAGCAGGCCTATGACACCTGGGTTAGGACGGGCACTTTTCTGACCTCTTTATATACTCATCTAATCTTTGCAACAGCCCAAGGGTAATTATTATCTTTACCTCCATTTTACGGATCAAGAGGCTGAGACCGGAGTTAAGCCTCTTGCCCAAAGTCACCCAAGTAGGAAACAGAATTGCCCATTCCGATAGAGACGGTCTGCTCCAGAGTCCACGTACTTGACCACTCCCGCTTTTGTCCCCCACGGAGAGATTAATGTACCTGTCTAGACTGCAAGTTTCTTGGTCTCCCCAACTCAAAACCTGGATAATTATTATTAACTATTTCTCAGGTTTTGGGGAAGCAGTAGCAAAGCTTAGAAAGTAGATATAGATGTAGACGGTAAAATACTAACTGAATAGTAAGCAATTACGATTATCACCCTCAACACTTGCAGCCATTTCTTGACCACCATTTATCCTTCCAGCTCATCCTCCTCTCTGTCACGAAGTTAGTCTTCTACAACAGAGATGAAATAGCATACTTCTGCTGCCTAAAGTCTTCCACGGACTCTGGATTGTCTCAAGGTTGCTACCCAAGCTTTTTAGCCAGAAATATGGGTCTTTCCTAACCTGGCCCAGCTGTGTCCTGCAGCATTTTCTCTACTGTTGACTTGCAGGTAACTTACACTCCATACATGAGATCACCAGTCATTTTCTAAGCACACCCGTGACCCAGGTCCTCCCATGTTTTTGCCCAGTCTGTTCCTATAAGCTGAAATGCCCTTTCTCTTTACCTATTCAGTGAATAGCTACTCATCTAGTAAGACCCAACTCTATGACACCCCTCTGTGAAGCCCTCTGACATCCTCAGACAGGGCTAGGCCCACTTCCTTTATGCTACCACAGCCCCTGGGACACAGTGTTGCATCCATCACCCCGCCAAAAAAGGAAGTTTCACTAATTCAATGCAATTCAATTAATTTTTGCAGCCAGCTGTTAGCTGGGTCTCCCTCGCTCATAGATCTGTTCATCTCGAGGGCTGTCCTAACATAGCTGTACCAACTGAGTGGCTTAAACCAACAGAGACATATTGTCTCAAAGTTTTGGAGGCCAGCTGCCTGAAATCAAGGTGGCACCAGGGCCAGCTCTATGGGAGAGTCCTTCTTCCTCTTCCAGCTTCTGGTGTCTGCTCCCTAATGTCCCGTGGCTTATAGATACAGCACTCCGATCACAAGGCCATCTTCTCCCATGTGTGGCCACATCATCTCCCTTCTGTGCATGACTGTCTCTGTCCAAATTGCCCCTTTTGATAGAAACACCAGTCATGTTGGGTTAGGGCCCACCCTAAGGACCTCAATTTTAACTTCATTACTTCTACAAAGACTGTATTTTCAAATAAGGTTACAATCTGAGGTACTAGGGTTAGAGCTTCAACCCATATTTTTTGAGGGGACATAATTCACCCCGGGACAGTGGGAAATTGTGGTCATCCAGAAAGTTGAATTTTCGACACTTGGGCCATCTGAAGTCTTCCACCCAAGTTCTGTGATCCTCATGGCTTCCTTCCTCCTGTTTTCTCCCTACCTCCTCTCCTGTGTTCAAACTATTTCAGTTCCAACACACAGTGCCCATAATTGCAGGCCTTCAATATTTTCAACAACTAATCCAATAAGATCAAGAATTCCAAGCATTTAGCAACTTCACTTCAGGTGAGGAGCTGAGCACGGGGAAAGATCTCATCAGGCACCTGCCATGTCTCTCATTCCATCCTGTTTCCGGACCCTTGGCCAACCAACCCAGGATCCTTCCAAGAGACCTTCTTCATTGTCTCCAAATCACTGGGAGACACAGTCCGGTTCTTGCTCCCACCCCCACTTGGACTGCTTCCCCCACTGGGACCACTCCTGGCAACCCAGCCTGGCTTCTCCGGCCACCCAGCCCAGGATTCTCGCAAAGAAAAATTTGCTCCACTTGTTGCATTTTTATCGATCACATATATGCTGGCACTAAGTTAGATGCTGCTGATACAACAGAAAGCAAGGTAGAAATATCCCCCTGTGTATACAGGTATAGATTCTGGCGGGGAAGATAGATGTTAAGGGCATGATTGCAAGTACAATGAGTGTGATGACACAAGGACATGTACAACAGCAATAACAGTGCCACAGCTTTTTAATGAGGACACACTGTGGGCCAGGCACTGTTCTAGACCATGAGAAATTCTCATGGGGCTTGCATTCTAATGGGGGACACAGACAAATAAAAATGTCAGGTAGTTGTAAATGCTATAAAGGGAAATCAATCACGGGTGCCTGGATGGCTCGGTTGGTTAAGCATCTGACTCTTGATTTCAGCTTGGGACATGATCTCACAGTTGTGAGATCAAGCCCTGAGTCAGGCTCCATGCTTACAGCAAGGAGCCTGCCTGGGACACTCTCTCTCTCTCTCTCTCTCTCTCTCTCTCTCTCTCTCTCCTCTCTCTGTACTCCTCCACCCACTCACATGCAGGCACAGTCGCTCTCTCACTCTCAAAATAAGTAAGTAAACAAGCAAAAAAGGGAACATGAATCAGGATATGAGGGATAAAGCAGTCTGGGGGGTGTATTGGTTAGGATTAGGCACAACTGCACAGAACAGGCAGAATAAATAAGGGCTCATATTAAATGAGGTTTGTTTGTTTCTCTGAAATGAAGACACCCAGGAGGAGGCAGTCCAGGGCTTTTAGAATAGTTTCCAGGCCCTCTATTTCTTCTCTGTCATTTTTAGCGTGTCTTACATCTTCAAGATTACCTCATCATTCAAAATGGCTGTGAAAGCTCCAGCCATCATATCTGCAGCCCAGAAATGAAAATGGAGAACAGGAGTGAGGGCAAATAGGAGGCACCTCTCTGCTAAGTCGCCTCTTTGAAGGCAATTTGCCAGAAACCTCACCCAACCTATTCCTTTTACATTTTATTTATTTTTATTTATTTATTTTTTTTTTTTTTAAATTTTTTTTTCCAACGTTTATTTATTTTTGGGACAGAGAGAGACAGAGCATGAACGGGGGAGGGGCAGAGAGAGAGGGAGACACAGCATCGGAAACAGGCTCCAGGCTCCGAGCCATCAGCCCAGAGCCCGACGCGGGGCTCGAACTCCCGGACCGCGAGATCGCGACCTGGCCGAAGTCGGACGCTCAACCGACTGCGCCACCCAGGCGCCCCTTCCTTTTACATTTTAATAGCCGCCCCTAAATGTAAAGGAGACGAGGAAGTGCAATCTATCAGCTGTGTACAACGCTATCCGGGATATAAACAGAGTTTATGCCTAAGGGAAAATGGGTTTGAATAAACAACGCACCATATCTACTGGGGCCCATCAAAGGCTTTCCAGAAAAAGGAGGCTTAGGCTGGCAGCCAAAAAATGAGAAAGGGTGTGCAGGCCAGGGCATCATTGCTGCAGTTTTCTTCACACGACAGCACTGATGCTTAGGCTGGGTCCAAGCTTAGCTTTGTTCTGCAGTGTCTAGCTCAGAACTGGGCCCAAGCGCTCATCTCGGGAAATATTTTTTGACTACGTAGTGGCCTCTGATCGAGTGCTTATGTCACCCAACATGCAATCTCTGCCCCAAGATGCATGCCCTCTAAACAGAGTCTCTCAGTTATTTCCGTTCTGCTTCCAGCAAAGCAAATGACTCTTGGGGAAAAAGTCACCTGGTATCGAGCTACAGGCATGGATATCACGGGTACCCAGAAATCAAAATAGGAAGCATGTACCACAATAATACCTGACCATAACTTCCGAATGAATCAGGAACATTGCTTCACAGACCATCGCGTCTCACGTATTAAGTGTCCTTTGTTGTTTATAGCTGTAGAAGTTGCCGAGGTTGGGTTAAGGTAAGGGAATAAGAAGAAACCTGCCCAGCCCTTCCTGTTGATGAAATTCCAATGGAGCCTGGTTCTCGGGTTCAGTGATTACTGAGCCAAGTCTGGAAGCTCTAACACTGGGCCGGTCTCTATGCTGTTGGCAGACCTGGCAAGCTTGGATGGGCAGCACAGAGGGCAGGCCAAATGAATGTGCCTTGCCCAGAGTCTAGCACATGGCAGATCTTCAATAAATGTCAGCTTCCTGAACAGCTGGGGCATTTGAGAAAAATGTTTATAGAAGTAGGACATTTGAACTAAGCCATAAAGGGTAAAGAGAGGTTCTTGCAAGGGTGGGAAGAAGGGACAGACACTTGAGATGAAAGGAACAGTGTGTGCAAAGGGAGAGAGGTGTGAATGGGAAAACTCAAGCAGTTCAATGAGTCTCGGGGGAGGGTGGAGGCAGGAGGTGAGGCTGTCAAGATGAACTTGTGCAGGGAAGTGCTAAGATGCTTGAACTTTCTCCAGTGGGTAACAGGGAACTTTTGGAGCAGCTGAGCAAGGGAGAGATGTGGTCAGAGTCACGGGGTCATTAACGCCTCTCCTCCCCAGTCACTGCTCTGATGCAAGGCTTCTCCATATTCAGAATATTGGTTCCACTGATTTACCTTTCTCTGTTCCTTCCCCCCAAGACCTTTCCTCTCACCATCTCAATTCCTGATGCTGTTGTGGATATATCAACATCCATGTAGATATATCTCCTAACACCTTTGGCCTCCCAGCTTTGATGACGTTGGCCTTGAACCGTTCTCTTTAGCCATCTATTGCCAGAGCAACATCATAGACCTTCTACACCTCGAGAAACTCAAAGCCCAGTTTTCCCCTTCCTTTGTTATCCTTTGAGCAGCTAGGGGGATCTAATCACATCATTCTCCTGCTTGACGCTCTTCAGTGATTCCCAGGCATTACAAATAAAAATCCAAACACCTTCCTGTAGCCTTCTGGACTCTACATGTTCTGGCCCTTGCCTACTTCCCCAATCCCATCTTGGGCCACTCTCCTCCTCACCTTCCATTCTTCCTTCTGTGGGCCTTCATCTTGCAAGACTACAGTCACACCTCTACCCACATCATACCAGACTTCGCAAATGAATTCTCATTACTTCCTGTCCCCACCTTCCCACTCACTCCTAAAACCACTAAATGTGGCTTCACCTCCTACCAATCCACTGCCACTCCTCTCTCCAAGGTTATCTTTCTAAATTACCAAATCACATGGGTCCAGGTGGCCACCCCTGTCTTGAAACTCACTCCTCCCATACGGTCTCCACGATGTTACTTTCTCTTTCTTCTGTGTTGTTTCTTAGTCTCTGTGAATTTCCCTTCCTCTGTCTACTCTTTCAGTATTAGTCTTGTCCAGAGCTCAACTTTAGTCCCCTTAAATTCTCACTCTGCACCCTTCCTTAAGCATCTGATCCCTGTCTATCGCTTCCCTTCCCCCACCATCAGATGATACCCAGAGGAACCTCAACTTACTCCAAACTGACTTCACCACCTCCTACTCCCACCCCTTGTCAAGACCCATTTCACCCCATCCAAGAAAATCACCCGGTCTTATCTTTCCATTCGCTCAAGCTGGAAACCTGGGAGTCATTCTAGGTTACTCTTTCTCTCTTGTCCTCTACTATTCATGAGTCACTGCATGTGAGTGAAGTTACCATCCAGTGTCTCAGATCTCTGCTTTGTCCCTCCCCTAGTTCAGGGCCTCCTCACCTCTCCTCTAAATTGTTGACCCACTTGATTGCTATCTTCCCTGCTTTTGTTTTTAATCTCTCATCCCCACTGGACTATGAGGGACCATGTCTTTTTAATTTTTTTAATGTTTATTTATTTTTGAGAGAGACAGAGTGGGAGTTGGGGAGGGGCAGAGAGAGCCGGAACACAGAATCCAAAGCAGGCTCCAGGATCTGAGCTATCAGCACAGAGCCTGATGTGGGGCTCGAACCCATGAACTGTGAGATCATGACCTGAGCTGAAGTAGGACACTTAACCCACTGAGCCACCCAGGCACCCCAGGACCACATCTTAATAAATGTCTTATCCTCTGGGTCTGCCAGAGTGGTGGCACATAGTGTGTACTTAGAGTGGGTATTTCTGACTGTTCGAATGAAATGAGCATATGAATGTGTGGATAGACTAAGGAACAAATGTCACAAGGCACGTGACACCATCCAACTTAAAATAATATGTTTACAACATTACAATTCACAGATCACTTGAACGACAGCTCTGTGAGGTGGTTATTATTGTTCCTAACCTCTCTCGTTACATAATTTGGCCCAACTATAAAATTAGTGAGTCACAGAGTGAGGCCGTAGAAAACCCTGGATTTGAACCCATGGGTCCAAGTCTTAGACTTTCCACCAAAGATAGAGCTTTGCTCAGCAACTGCATTATTTTTAGGTCCTTCCATAAAGCTGGTATTAGCCAAATTGATTGTCTACTCTACTTAGCAGAAGTTTTTCTAAATGACACATTTTTGTTTTCCTTCAGAAAATGAAATGTTTTCATTTTTGCAAAGCACAGAAGTTTGCCTTCATTGTAGTTGTTCCAAAGAATGTGTGGTCACGTACGACCTTCAGGCACAGATTGCTCTCCTGGTATGTGTGTTCAAAATTTAGTCCCATTCACCGAAGGCAGGAAGATTTATATGCTCTTTGGTGGATTGAGACTTCCTTTAAATTTCTTTTTAATGTTTATTTATTTTTGAGAGAGTGAGACAGGCAGACTGCAGGTGGGTGAGGGGCAGGGAGAAAGGGAGACACAGGATCCAGAAGCAGGCTCCAGGCTCTGAGCTGTCAGCACAGAGCCCGATGTGGGGCTCGAACCCACACACTGTGAGATCATGACCTGAGCCAAAGTCCGTCACTTAACCAACTGAGCCATCAGGTGCCCCTGTGGCTTGAGACTTTCACTGCCTTGGTGATTCTGGCGTCTCTTAGAAAGGCTAGAATAGATACAACATCACTCAAATAGAGTTGATATCCTGCACTGTATCTCCCTAAGCCCCTCCCTCCTCCCATATCCTCTCAGGGAATAGCCACCTATTTCTCAGGCCAGAAACCTGGTCATCATCTGAGTCCTCTGGATTCCTCCCTTTGCACGTCCAACCCAGCACCAAGTGGGTCCATTCTACCTCCTCAGTGTCCCACGAGTTTGTTCTCTTTCCATCCCAACGACGACAGCCTTCACTCAGGTGTCTGCCTGGACCTTACCTGCATGAAGAATCAGCCCCCCGATACCTCTGCCCACTTCCAGTTTTGCACACACCAAGCCACCATCCACACTCTAGCCCAAGTCATGATTTTAGGTAGACAACTCTGCTCGGTCAGGTTTCTGCCTTTAAACTTGCAATATGTTCCCATTGGTCTCAAGATTAAGTCCAAAGATTTCATCGTGGCACACAAGGCTCACGTGACCCAGCCCCTGCCAACCTCTCCGCATTTGTCCCCTCTCTCTCCACTTCCCGCCTCTCACCTCTGGGCTTGTGCTCTCTTCCTCTGCACTTTGCACTTACTGGTCCCTCCCTCCCCCACTTCAACTTGGCCACCTCCAGCCGGTTCTTCAAATCACAGTTTAAGCATCATCGGTTCCCAGTATCTGTGGCTTCCACGAACTGGGTTATAACGATGCTTTTTTCTCCCGTGGAAGCCATCGCACCTTCCCATACTGTATTGTGATGTCTGTTTGCTCATCTATCCTCCACTGCCTTACTCAGTGAGCTCTGTGACGGCCTGGGGTGTATCTTGTTCATCTCTTTACCTCTCTCCAGCTCCTGAGCCTGCCGATGCCTGTAAGTTTGTTGAATAAATGAATTTCTGTTCTCAATCTCTCCCAACTTCTCCTCCCCCTGCCAATAATAGTGGAGGAGACACAAGTAAAACACCCAACCCGGTCAGTGTTACAAGAACCATAACGGAGTTGTGTAATAAGTAAAGTACCCTGGAGCAAGCAGGAGGGAGCCCCAGCAGCTTCAAGTGTCTTCAGCCTGGCAGAAATAGGCCTGGAGTGTTACGTGTTTGAAAAGCAGCGAATGGAAAGAGCACCCAAATTCCAACCCTGAAGATCAGCTTAGGAATAATTCATCACTCCAGAGGGTCCCGTTGTCTCAGTCAGTTAAGCAGCCAACTCTTGATCTCAGCTCAGGTTACGGTCCCAGAGTTGTGGGATTGGGCCCCACGTTGGGCTCCATGCTGAGCGTGGAGTCTGCTTGAGATTCTGTCTCTCTCCCCGTCTTCCCCTCCCCCCATTCTCTCTCTCTGTGTCTAAAATTTAAAAACTTACAATTAAAAAAAATTTTTTAATAAAAAATAAAAAAACTTATTCATTTTTGAGAGAGAGAGATAGAGACAGAGTATAAACAGGGAAGGGGCAGAGAGAGACAGAGACACAGAATCTGAAGCTGGCTCCAAGCTCAGAGCTTTCAGCACAGAGCCTGACGTGGGGCTCGAACTCACAGATTGCGAGATCATGACCCAGGCTGAAGTCGGACGCCCAACCAACTGAGCTACCCAGGTGCCCCTAAATTAAGAACATTTTTAAAAAGAATAATTCATAACTCCAGACCAGTGGCCCCATTCTCTCTCCATATGAGAACCCCTTCTAATATCAAAAGATTTAGAAATCCCCACGTGACAGCAGTTGCTGCATAACATCCTAATGTTCCTCTAACTTCAGCAAGGATCTGAAGAGCCTGATTATATGCAACACAATTATGCATCTACAAAAATTCCCAAAGTAGCAGAACATTCATGTGAAAGGTGCCCACAGACTGTGCCTAGTGTGAGGTATGGGTTTGTGGACCGCAGCATGCTAGGAGCCCATGTTTCAGACCCACTGATGCTAATATCCACCCTTTACACCCCCCACTACCATTTCCCCCCTGGAATTGGGCCAACTCAGGCAATCACTGACATGGAAGAAAATGAATAACTAACTGACAACACTTCATAACTAAGTAGTAAAATCTTGGATTGCGAGTAACTTGTTCTGTGAGCGTATCGCAAGATGAGTAAACATTTCTAATAAATTTTAACTTGATAAACAAGCAATGTCTTGCAATACAAGTACGACGTGATGCCGAATGTCACATGATCACAACTGAGCCAATGGTTCTTGAAATTTGCTTTGATATGCGAATGCTTTGCATTACAAAGATGGTTCTGCAACAGATTATGCTGGCAAACCAAGGTTTTACTCTGTTTCTATTCCGGCTTTGAAAGATTAATTCAAAACTATAAGAATTTGTATTTTAACCCATGATGAACAGATTAAATACTTTCTTTTAGGCATCTAATCACAGGGTCACTCTACTGGACAGTCTGCTTAGCTTCCACATGATGAGATGAGAATACCGTCTTTTCCAGAGAGTGTGATCACTTTGTAAATCCCTCAAGGCATGGCAGATTGGTTGGCTGGGGGTCACGCTGAGCCTGTCCAGTTATTCAGGTGCACCCTTCACTCTCATGCTTTTAGGTCCTGTTTTTGGCAGCCATGTTTAACCAGGACACAGGAAACAATCCCCCACAGTGCTTTGCTCATATCTTAATTATGACGTCTTATTCATTTTTTTTAAACAAGTTATATGTACTTATCTCAAATTCAAAAGATCCCCAGGTTTATACTGTTAAAAAAAAAAAAAAAAAACAGCTTCCCACACCATTCCTTGATCCCGTCTCTCAAATATAACCCCAGATAACAGTATAACAGAGTTTTGTCCTGTTTGGTTTATTAAAAGGGGGGGGGGGAACCCATAAACTATAACATACGTATCGTTCTACAACCCGATTTTTCCTTCTTGTGCTCTCTTTTACAATTTATTTTTTACTTTTTATCATGGAAATCCTCAAACCAATACATAAATATAGAGAGCAGCATAATGAATCCTATGTACCCATCACCAAGCTTCAACAAATAGGCACAATTCGTCAATTTTGTTTTACTTATTTCTCCTCTGC